CAGTCTTGTCTTAAATGTCTTAAGAATGCAATAGACCATTTGCAGAGAACAGCTTGGAAAGAAAAATAATTTGGCAACTTACCTGGAACCTATCCAATGCGATAGCAGTAATACTGATCGTGGACACAAATATATTTGTTCCCTGAAACATGGCAGAAAACTTGCACATAAATGAGCCCAATGCCCATGGATGGTGACCAATCAGCAAGCGGTAGAGTGTAAATGGTTGGGTGAAAAGGCACAAAGTCAAATCAGAGATGGCCAAATTCATGATGAACAGGTTACTTCGAGTCCGCATGGATGGTTTGCGCAGCACGACAAAAATCACGAGGCCGCTTCCGAAGGTACCAACCAATATCATTATTGTGAACACTAGAATGGTCGCAAGAAGCATCGGGAAGGGAAGATGTCTGTGACTTAGTGCGGCACTGTGTTCCTCGTCGAAAACTCGATTTAGCAAATGTTGTGTTGAATTGCTTGCATTGAGGCAATTTTCCAAAAAATGCCTCAAGCTTGCGTAGGAATTGATGAAAGTGTTACAGCTGGAGTTTGTTCGTGTGACGGAAATCAGTTCCGACATTTCACAAGAATCAAATAGATGATCTTTTTGGGGCGAAAATGCTACATGTAGGACATAAATGTAGATGTCAGACGCATCATCTCTTATTTTATACATGCCTGCTTATCCAAACCAATTTTCCATTGGTTAGACTCATAAGAGTTCAGCCCGACCAATAAGAATGTCCGAAAATTCATCGAACATTTTAGATCACTGGGTTTTGGAACTTCGGACGAGTATAGTACTGCGTATGTAACTGTAATATGGCTGTGTTTACTACAGCACACTTTATAACCGAGCGTTTTAACTTTTCATGTAACAGAAAATTAATAAATGGATTAGTCTCCTCCATACGTGGCGAACTTTTAGCAAACAGGTAAAATTCCGAGTTGCGTTTAATTGATGTTTTGTCACCGCGTTCTACCGGTGTCACAATTCCGTGATCAGAATCCAAAAGACCGCTGAAACAGTCAAATATCTCCTTAGGTGCCGGAGATTAATTTCATCCAAAAGTACCCAGTCACCATGTTGCACCGCAGGAACCAGCGCACACTCGATGAAGGCAAAACCTACGACCGACTGATCTTTATTGACAGCATTTTCGAGGTATCTTTGCAATTGATTTGGCTGATCAGATAGCCCAAGCCATTCCTCATGTAACAAGTTAGCTGAACGAGCAGAGCACCCGACAGCCAGACGGTTACGGTGCTGCATCGAAGTTATCAGATGACGCCATTGTCCTGAATTGAAGTATTCATTGTTGTGTTCCAGGTATCCTATATTTTTGTCCATTCGGAAGGTTGGACAAAACGGTGCTTAAGAACGCTCTCGTACAGGCCTCACAAGGAAGCGTGTATCTACTGCTTTCAGGTCGCCAATTAGATCAATACTGTCTGATTGCTGACTCAAGTTGATTATGCGCAAACGACGGAAACAAGGATGTGCCAACTTTTGACTAGATGGAGCCTTTCCCCTGCCTGTCTCCCCGATAAGAAGAACTGGCTTTATGTGCTCAATAGCCCCTGTAAGCCGCTCGAGCAGAGTGCAAGCCAAGTGCTTTAAACCAAATGGAGAAACAACATCCCCGTTCGACTGGGTGAGAGGTGATGCACACGGCAACCGTGCTTCTGATTCTGCCGTGCGGTGACAAGGAAGCTGCGCTCGTCCTAGATACATCGCTGCTCCGTCTGTATCCAATGGGAATGAACAAAACCTTCTCCGCAGTCAGATTGAGTTCTCCGGCTATTTTACCAGCTGAAGCGTCCTAGATACATCGCTGCTCCGTCTGTATCCAATGGGAATGAACAAAACCTTCTCCGCAGTCAGATTGAGTTCTCCGGCTATTTTAGAAGCCAGCTGAAGCAAACGGCTTGGATTGGGCGCACAGGCTATGAAGCAGTCAACTGCATACAACGGCAAGGAATCAGATTAGAGAGATTCAACAGAAGGTCGAATTTCAGCAAATCCCGTGGTGAAATGTTGCGCGACCCAGTGAACGCTGAACTGAATTCCAGATCTTGCCGAACCCGAACATAAATAGTTAAAATGCAGTCAAACAGCCGTGGTGAAATGGTGCGCGACCCAGTGAACGCTGAACTGGATTCCAGATCTTGCCGGACCCGAACATAAATAGTTAAAATGCGGTCAAACAACGTGTGAAGTGAACAGTAAGTCAGCTGAATTGTTGTGTTCCAGGTATCCTATATTTTTGTCCATTCGGAAGGTTGGACAAAACGGTGCTTAAGAACGCTCTCGTACAGGCCTCACAAGGAAGCGTGTATCTACTGCTTTGAAGTCGCCAATTAGATCAATACTGTCTGATTGCTGACTCAAGTTGATTATGCGCAAACGACGGAAACAAGGATGTGCCAACTTTTGACTAGATGGAGCCTTTCCCCTGCCTGTCTCCCCGATAAGAAGAACTGGCTTTATGTGCTCAATAGCCCCTGTAAGCCGCTCGAGCAGAGTGCAAGCCAAGTGCTTTAAACCAAATGGAGAAACAACATCCCCGTTCGACTGGGTGATAGGTGATGCACACGGCAACCGTGCTTCTGATTCTGCCGTGCGGAGACAAGGGAGCTGCGCTCGTCCTAGATACATCGCTGCTCCGTCTGTATCCAATGGGAATGAACAAAACCTTCTCCGCAGTCAGATTGAGTTCTCCGGCTATTTTAGAAGCCAGCTGAAGCAAACGGCTTGGATTGGGCGCACAGGCTATGAAGCAGTCAACTGCATACAACGGCAAGGAATCAGATTAGAGAGATTCAACAGAAGGTCGAATTTCAGCAAATCCCGTGGTGAAATGGTGCGCGACCCAGTGAACGCTGAACTGGATTCCAGATCTTGCCGGACCCGAACATAAATAGTTAAAATGCGGTCAAACAACGTGTGAAGTGAACAGTAGAGTCAGCTGACCAATTGTCGTAGACTGTTATCACTGAGAGCAGGTAACATGATGACCGAACAGTGTCGCTCGATAAAATCCGCCCTAGGATTGTCGCCAACCGCTCGCCACTCATTGGTACAACTGAGGACAAGCCGATGCGCCATTAGAATGCGGAAGTTTTGGTGTTGGTAAACAGTCAGACTTGTGGTGGGATCAATAAGGTCGGGGCGATGACACGATGAATGATTGTGTTTAAATAACGGAACGAACAACACCTGCAAGTCCACGGGTTCGCAGCTAAGATCAAAGCGTTGAAGAATTTGGTAATGGACCCGGTCGCCGAACAACAGTAGGTTCCCAAAAGATTCTTGCAATCGGTTTACTAGCTGATTTGCACGCGATGGACAGAAGCTTTCTGCAAACAAGCCACAAAGTCGATACAGCAGGCCTTTCCACATATCACTGGACCAGCAAACAAGACGGGTTTACGAAGTTCCGTACAAACAGAAAGGCCAGCTGTGCAAGAGTAAATTAAAGGGAGGTGAATAAAGGTTTCTGTGTATCGCTCTTGGAAATGATGACTGGTAATGCTGCCGCACTGTTCAAACAGTGTAATATCATGTCGGCAGACTTCGCTTCAAAACATTCCAGCGACTTCTGCTTGACACATTTCGGGCATATATATTTGGTTGAACTCCCTGGTGGTCTCCGCATCCTCTGCAAATTTACGGATATCGTATCAGGATGACATACTGGATGAATGGAACCTGAAATTGTCCACCAGGACTTGGCGATTTCCCCACTGGGAACCAGTCAGTGTTGGAGTTTTCAATATTCATTGGAAGCGAGAAAACGATTCAACCTAAAATCCGAGGTATCCCAAATAGAGACGTTCAGAAAATAATATACTGAATAAAAAATTTTGGTTTTAGATTCGCCGCTCACAAACTGACATTTAACCACCTCGGAACTTCTTTCTCCATTTTGTAATCTAGATCTCCCAACAGATGCATATATACTCGGCCAGAACCTCATTGGAACTCAGAAAGTTCCATGCAGTTTTATTCATCACGTCCAATGGATCAATTGAGCATGCCAAATGGCCGACATTAAGATCACATCGACGAGCCGAACCAGGACACTGTCACCTTTGATGTGGCCTAATAGTCATCCTCAGGCACTACCATTTCCAACGTTTCGTAAATATGCGAGGGCGGGATGGAACGATTAGTTTTGTCTTGTTCACAAAAGTGCCTCCTGATATTACTGCTCTGTTTTAAGTAAAATGCATTACTGCACTGAGGCGTGGGTAGTCAGGACTTCAGCGGCACGCGATGTTCACAGGGATGTAATGACGACAAATTCCTGTATTGAAATGAGCACATAGGGAATGTGGAGTGAATGGAGCGGCAAAAATCACGAAGCGTAGTTTGGGTTGGGCAATGCATGATAAGATAGGTAAATACTTGCGTTATTAAAACAGAAAAGATAAGCACAATTCAAGCAAGGTCAAAACAATAGCTCAAATCCACTCAGTTGAATGTACAATCAAGCTACCTTTTCATGTCTGGGGCTCGTGTTGGCTCATTGGGGGTATCTGCAAGATGGAAAAAGATAGATGTAGACACATTAGGTCACAAGACAAACGCGTGTCATCAGGTCAGGCTTAGTCCCAATAACGTTATCACGCGTTACAAGTTCCGTGACTACCTGTGGAAGGAAGGTGTTTGCTGCGGAGTCTTAGAAAATG